ACACATTGGTTCTTGCTCGCGCGTGGAGTTCCCTGTTCAAATGCACAGCCGTTTCTGAAACCTGGGAAGCACATGTTTAACCCCACACGCCTGTTCTATGGACACGCATTGGACACTGGCCCTTGGGAAGCACCATTGGACGGGGCTCCCCTTCCTCCTTCCAAGGCCGTCCAGGTGTCCGTCCTCTGTGCAGGTTACTGCCCCTCGAACCTCTCACTGGTCCTGACATCTCTGCCCTTGACCAGAAGGTCTGAAGCATGAGTGGGTAAAGCAACAGATGATTCTCTGATTATGGCTCAGAGAAATGGTGGCAATTAAGTCACACAGTATGTCCACTTTTACATGTTTAGGCTGCATATCTTGACCTCTTCAAAAACGCACGTCTCCATGCAAAGGAAAAGCGGCAAGTAAGATGTATGCAAGACTGTTTTCTGCCTTTCAAAGGCCTTGGCAGTGTAGTAAGGCCCATGCCTGAGGCAGGCGTCATCTCCGCCTCAGACTCAGGGAGAGGACATGCTTGCAAGACCTGACCTAGGCCCCTCTCAGAGCAAAGAGCTTCTCAGGGCTTCACGCAAACGCCAGCACTGGCATTTTCTGAGGCGAAGTCCTGGAGGTGGCTGGGACAGCCACAGGGATGTGTGCTCGAGCATCTGGGCTGACGGATGGCACATGATGTCCTCATGGTCCAGTTTCTAGAGTTGCAGCACAGATCTCTGCTGCCATGCAGGGCAGACACGTGGCTTTGGTACCCAGTCTGACACTGAGGGAGCGGAAGGAAAACCACAGCAGCTCATCACATAGCTCCCACCTGGCTGCAGGTGAGGTGCTTCTCATGGGACTCTGCCTGGCAGCCGCTGAGGACTGGTTTCATATCACCGGCATGAACCTGAATTTCTTATCAGGGTTTGTGTAACGTGCCTAGAAGAGTGCTGGTCTTGGCGTGTCTGTCTGAGGCTGTATCAGTGCTCACGCTGGGCGGGTTCCAGTGAAGACCCCCTTCCTTCCTTCCTTCCTTCCTTCTTGCCTGCCTGCCTGCCTGCCTGCACTCAACCAGTATCCACTGAAATCCTAGTCTGGTGGACACAAGATGGCCCCCAAATGTCCACGTCCGGGTCCCGGGCACCTCACCTGGTGAAAGGTACTTTGCAGGTGTGACTGAAGTCCAGGGTCTTGAGCTGAGAAGTGATTCTGAATCCTGTGACTGGGCCCCAGGGAACCACCAGGGCCTCACACAGGGAGGCAGGTGGGTCAGAGCCAGAGCAGGTGTAGTGGTGGCTGGGACCAGGGCGCAGTCCCGGGGGGGAGCTGAGGGAGGCAGCTTGAGGCTATCGTAGAAACTGGAAATTATTATGTACCTTTGAGAGACATGTCACTTTACAAACAATAAAATAAAAATGAGCTTATGGCGGGTTCCTCTGTCAGCTTTGCATGGATTTTCCCTTTGTCTCAGTGACTTCTAGAATCAGTAGTGACATATGTTGAGAAAATTTTTGACCCAGAGAAAAATCATTATAACCTAATTTTACAGCGTTTTCCTTCATGACATCAATAACATTCTCTTCCTAGAAAAATCGGGTGAAATGCATATTTAGACAAGTAAATCTGTCTGATAAATCATTTCACAGATGAGCAGGACACCATGTGTGAAATGAAAGTTAGATGTTTTCAAAACCACTTCATTTAAAGGGAGGACACTAGTCAATGAGGTGCTTGTCATAACGAAGAGACAGTGAGGTGTGGACACATGTGTGGCCATGGGTCACGCCACCCAGCAGGGCACCCTCATCCCGACAAAGCTCTTGGACCTGAGATGGAATGCATCTGCTGCGGCCGAGCCACAGGTGTCTGCAGGTGCTCAGGGGACAAACGGGCACCCAAGACCCACGCGAGCCAAGCGTTTCAGCAGCCCCGGCTGTCAGTGCTTGAAAGAGACGCCCAATGCGTATTCCTACATCCTTAACAAACCTTCCACATGTACACTTAATAGCTAATTATTGCTAGATGAATATTAAAATTACACATTTGCATATTACAGAAGGTGAGGCTACCTCATGACACCAGCTTTTACTTTTCAAGCATGCAAAAAAAAAAAAAATATATATATATATATATTTTAAATAAGTCCTGTTCTTCAAAATAATCACTGTGAATGTTTTTAAAAATAACTTTTCTGGAATTGTTTTCAAGAGGTAGTTTTAGAACCATAAGAGAAAATCAATTTGTCAAAATAATCTTTCTCTCTCTGCACACACACATACACATGCTGACAAGGGAAGCCATTAGATGCTGGTGGCAGTGCATGGTCCCCAGGCGCGTGGACAGCCACTGAAGCCCATCCTCCCGGTGCCGGGAAGCTCTGGGATCCCAGCTCTCGGGACCATGGAGCGTTTTGTCCATACTCGTGTGTCTGTTTTCCAGGAGGGGATTTTTCAATTCTTTGACATCTTTCACATTCTTATTGAATAGATTTGTTGCATGCCATCTCAATTCTATTTAGGATGGAAGTATTGTAAGTATTTAACAGACATAGCTTAGAGTAAAGCACGGAAGCAGAGGAATTAATTATCTGCACTTGCATTTCTTCAAAATGGCAGCTTATAAAGGACAGCGCTATGTGCCCAGTGTTTCCCATTATCTTTTTTGTTTTTATTTTAAAGATTTTATTAGGGAATATGGGGAGGGACACAGCTTTGGGGAATTGGGGGAAGGGGAACAGACAAGTTGTTGTCCTTTTGTTCTTCAGTCTAGTTGTGGAGGACGTCGCTTCACTGGCCCATGTTGGTGTTATCATTGCGCTCTTCCCGGGTGAGGCAGTGCAGTCGCTGGCCATTGGACATCATGGTAGCTGCTGGCAGCCCCACTGCAGCCTACGCTGTCGCTGGCGACTCACGGCAGCCCAGCTCCAGGTCGAGCTGCTGTTCACCATCTTAGCTGTAGAGGGCACAGCATCACTGGCCCTCATGTGGGATCCGAACCGGGGCCCTGCTGCTCAGAGCTGGCGTCCCAAGACAACTCCTAACCAACGCGCCCCTCGGCCGGCCCGCCCATTCTCTTATTGGATCCTCAGGCTGTCCCCACCTCTGGCCACCCCAAAATGGGCTGGAGAAAATTCTGAGCCAATAACTTTGCCAAGACCCAGCAGAAACTTTGAAGAGAAGTGTCTTTCATAATTTATTTGGTGCATACGTTTTGGGAATACAAAAACGTACTTGGTAAAATGGTGTGTACATAAATTAGAATTTTAGTCTCTGTTCGCACTGGTTCTTGTATTATCTCTATGAAACCTATTTTATTTTTATTTCCCAAAAATGATAGCTCTAAAACAATAAAGTGATTTTCTACTAGATAATTATTGTTTCAAAGCATTTCTGAAGCCCGTTTGTGCTGAGTTGTCACTTGCTCATAAGAGGCATGTGACAAATGTCGGTGAATCTACCAGAAACGAATGGGCTCTTGAACTGAGTGTTTAAACGGGGTGATCGTAGAGCTCCCTGCTTCCCGCGGTTTCTAGTTTGCTCACTGTCCACGTTTCTTTTTCTGGCAGGGCAGAGTGCGAGAGCTGGTCCCCGCCTTCACAGAAGCGGGAGCAAGTGGGACCGGAGACCTAAGGGCAGAGCCAGAGGCCTGGCAGGCCCCCCGGTGGCACCGTGACACACTGCAGCCCTGCAGGCATCGCCGGAACAGGCCTGGGCCTGCCCTCCACTCCCAGGCGCTGGGCCTCCCGAGCAGAGCCTCCTGACATCTGAGGCTGGGCCCTCAGTGTCACCTCCCTTCGGGTGCCACAAAGAACATAAAAACATCACCGAGGACCCATAGCTCTCTGAGAACCAATCATTGGGATGCTCCTCCTGTGAACACCTCAGAAAGCTTACCAGACCCGGGGTGATCGTGTGCGTCCAGGCCGTCCCCACCAGCCCATTGGGACCATGGCCCCCCAGGGGCCACGACAGTGCAGGGCTTACTCAGCGGTGTGACTTGTGCAACTTGTAGCTCCATGTCAGCACCCCAAATTCCTGCCGAATGCTTCAGCACGCAAACGAGAAGCTGTGTGGGGGGGGACCCTGCCTCGTCCCCTTCCCCATTCCGGCTCCCAATGCCAGTCATCAGGAAGAACATTCTAGGTCGTCTCAGAGCCGCCCTCTGATACGTGGCCACCTCCCGCGCCTTGTGACAGTCAGGTCGCCTCACTGCTGGGCACCGCTGGGTCCCTGGTGGCCGTGCTGAGCCTTCACGTGTAGCGGGGCGACCTGTCGTTGAGGGCCCTGTTTTGTGGGTTTCTCCAGCCGAGATGTTCACCGTGCTGTGTACTCAGAGGGGTGAAATTTCAGGCAGGGGTATTTAGTCCGGAGGTTAGTGTCCTCGGGGTGGACATGGTTTTCCATAAGGACCTGGAGGAAGCGGTGACGTTGCATCCGCAGCCCCGGGATGGTCAGCAAGTTTCCATGAACGATCGCTTTGCGACGCAACAACGAGCCCGTTTACGGACCTGCCGGCCCAGCAGCAGGTCTGGGCGCCGCGCAGAGGCGCCGCGGCTCATTCGCGGGCTTCACGGCGCCTACTACACTTGGACACTGGCCACCTTCCAAATACCAGAGACTGCATTTTTTTCTCTACAAAACTTTACAAGTTATACGTGATTATTTTCAAAAGCCTTGATAATTAGATTTCATTCTAAGAAAAAGAACAGTTATCTAGGAAAGAAATGTTTCAAAACACCCTTGCAGATGCGACAGTGCAACAAACGCTGGGAAAGTCAGGTCGCTGCGGGG